GTGTTTGATATCATTGAAACTGTTGGGCCACATGTGAACACAACTTTGTGATTCCAGAATAGTTTTCTGTGATTCCATTTCAGTTTGCTTTGGCACATTAAGATCCTGGATACCAGAGAAGGGAAATAAGTTCACAGATTTTATAATTACATTTCCCACTACTGATGAGGATTTCTCTTTAAAACTATACATTTAAAATATTGTAGATCTGCGGCCCTTTCCAAAATGATCTGAACATGTTTAGGGATCTGAGTTTTCATATGATGAAAACCAGGGGAGATTGTGGCAACTGTTCCCCCAAACTGAATCTACTTATATCTGCTTCTCCAGTGCTGTCAAGTTACCAACAGGATAATAATTACCCCAAAGCTCATTAAGAAAAAGAAAATCCATCACTGTCCTATTTTATCTCCTTGAAGTGGCTCATTATGTTCAGAGGAGAGCAAAATACATCAACATTTTATACGGCATACCTTTGGATGTAGCTGATTGCTCGCTATAAAAGGATTTGAGTCAAAGCCAATTTGCCATTCACAACCCAGGGGGCTCTAGGATCCTTGCAGAAAGGCTCTTTGTTGGAGTGAATTCACACAAAATAATATTCAAAGTTGTTACTTTGTATTCTTTCCCTGCTTTTGTCTATCCAGTGTCAATGGTTGAGTCTTCCAAGCAGCTCAGGGCTCAGGCAGGTGGGAATGAAATAGGAAGTTGAAGACACCTAAAAGTTCTTTTAACTGAAGCCAAACTTAGAACTAAATTTTGAGATTTCTTTTCATTGTTATTTTAAATTGGCACACATGCACATGGTAAAAACCGTCAAATAATACCAAGAGAGTAGGTAGAGAAGGTTAGGTCATAATTTGAAAAACAAATTAATTTTGAGGATTTCCATGAATTCACTTCATGTGGAAATAGATTCAGTGGCTACAGGGAAGCGAGGAGGAGGGGAGCAGTCACAGTGGAAAACTCTTAGACAAAAAAATTTTATCTAACAGTAAAATTTGGTTTTACTTGGCTTGTCTTTGAAGATTGCGTTTGGCCAGAGTTACTTCTAGGCAACACCACAAAAGTCAAAGTTAGAATCATTACTTAATAATCAAAGGAAGTATATTTGCAGCTGCAGAACTTAGGAGCCTTATGACCTTGGGCAAATTGTTTATCCTTTCAGAGTCTTAGTATCAGTAAAAGAAGGTTAATGGTCCAATCTCACAGAATTGGAGTGAGGATTGGCACAAAGCAAATGCAGCTGTTACAGCTCTTCCTCCAGCATCATCTGCTGCATGAAATATATCGACATTGTCATTCCCTTGTCAATTGTATAAGGAATCATAAACATGAAAGTGTTTTGAAACTATAAGAGGGCTAGCTAAATTCAGGGTAATTTTCTTTAGTTTATCCCAGCTTTAATAAACTTGTAATATTTTCTGATGTAATATTCTGGTTTTAAGTCATTATTATTATCCCTCAAGAGATAGTCCTTTTAGTTTTCTTCTTCCTAATCGTCCACCTAGGGTAACTGACACATTCACCATTCCAGATAGGGACTGGCGCTGCGAACAGTGACACCCAGAGCTCCTGCTCGTGGTGGGCAGGGCAGTGAGGGGATCCTCCCTGGCTCCCCTGGGGACACAGTTATTTAGATATGTCAGAACGTCCCACCCAACGTGTGATTCTCAAGTGAAAGGCTTAGCCAACCTTCTCTTTTCCTTTACTCTGGGGAACAACGCCATCGTCTGTTCCTGCTTCTGTAACTTTTATTGTAATATATGTATCTATTTTTTCCAGGCCTCCAACCCTGGGCAATTTGAAAATGACACTGATGCCTTATGGCAGCGAGGACAAGTTCCAGAATCTGTGGTTTGCCACAGTCGAGTGGGCATAAACACAGACGCACCAGACGAAGCCCTGGTTGTCTGTGGCAACGTGAAAGTGATGGGGACAATTATGCATCCGTCTGACAGCCGGGCAAAAGAGAACGTCCAGGAGGTGAGCATGGGGCCGGCCTCAACACCTCCTCTGACACCTGAGTCAGGTGTCCGGGCCCTCCTGGGCTCTGACACGCCTGGCCCAGGCATCCCTCTGTGTCACCTGCTGGTGTGAGACGAACACGCTGCTTAGCAGTTGTGAGGGTTGGAGCCATTAGGCATCTCTGCTGAAACCGTCAAGCAGCTCCTGCCCCAGAGGATGGATCTCCCTGCCGGGAGCAGTGGGCCATGGTGGCAAAGCGCTGGCTTCACAAGCGGGAAGTCTCTGAGTTCTTTTTCACAGGCCATTGCCTTTCCATCCACGAACTGTCAGCTCCTGGGGCGTCCTTTTCCTTTCCATCTCCAAACTTCCATCTCCCTGATCATCTTCCGGGCGCTGGCCTGGTCCAGGTCCTGCCTGCATTTCTCCTGGACCTCTCCAGCCCCTTCCTCCCAGAGTCCCGGGCGCCAGCCCCGTCAGCCAGTCAGTTGAGGGTCCCCTCAACTCCACACCTTTCTCCACCTTCTAGGTCCCACTGCTCCAGGTTCCAGGGGTGCCTAGTGGAAATCAGAATCAGGCTTAGAAATCAGGGCGCTGCTTGTTAGCTTGTTGCCTGGATAAAATGCTCAACCTCGCCCAAGCTCAATGTCTTTATCTCTAAGCTGGAAATGGTGCCTCTCTGCCTGACCCCTCTGAATCTTTTACAATTTTTAACCTGTTGAGAAAATAACTACAGAATCTTCTTGGAAAGTCAGAGCTGCTGTGAAGACCCACGGGATTAGGACTAAGGTGCCAGGTCACTCCTGTTTCCACCGTTTGTTTCCTTCTCGATGCTTCTAACACCTCCCCACGCCCCCACCTCTGCTTCTCCTGTAAACATTTTTGAGGTGGTGGCAGAATGGTGTTTTTAAACCTCCTTTCCTTGTTCTTTCTTAGTTAAGAGGACACCTAATCTGTAAATCATTGGCCATTCCTCCAGAGTGCATTCCTTTCCCAGTGCAAATCTGCACTGGCTTTTCTAAACCAGCCCAGGAATGTCCTCGTTGGCTGAGAGGATTGCAAAGAATGGTTGTAATTGTAGACTTTTACACTGACTGCAAGGCTACGTGGTTCACATCAGAGCAGCTGTGACCTACTAGCCGGACGGGAGCTCTCAGGGCTAGAAGGTTCTCACATAACGTTTCTAGATACCAGTCTTAGATTTTGTGCCTTTGCCTTTGAGAAAGAGATAACCTGTCTGCGTTTCAGATCGCACCAACTCAGACATGCTTGCAGTTGGCTGTACCACTCCCCACCAAGCCTCATCTCAATGTAAATAGAGGAGCCCCTCCCGCTACCACTGGGCTTTCCCAGAACTTCATTCACCAGACGTCTTCAAATGGTGCTCCTTGGTTTGAAGGACATATATCGTCTTAAAATAACAAGCTTCCCTGGCGGGCAGGGATAACTCAGTGGTAGAGCGTATGCTCAGCATGCATGAGGTCCTGGGTTCAATCCCCAGTCCAGCCATCAAATAAAAACAAAAAAGAGAAGGAAAAAAAATAACAAACTCCCCTAGAATTTCTTCAGTCCCACTAGGAAGCCTTCTCCATCCATGAAGTGAAGGGTCACCCAATCCAGTCTCTACATGTGACATTCCTGTGTCCCCCTCTGACTTCCAGCAGCAGGAGGGAGTAAAAAGAAGCCAGTCTCTGGTTTGAAGGCTAGAGGTTTTTGTCCTGATTCTGGGACCCACTCGCCCAGGGACTTTGGTCCAGACACGGTCTATCTGTTTACTATTCTGCAAACAGGGAACACCCATATTCATTTCACTCATGTTAGGGCTCTTTCTAATCTCATATAGAGGAAGGAATTTTTTAGCTGCAGGAGGCTAAGCAAATGGATTTTACTACTATTGTAAAAAATGCAAATTATATATACTTCATCAGTTACATTATTTCGTATTAATATATTAGTCCTGCATAAGTCTACCCACATGTATGAAGTACATGTTTCTAGAAACCTTGTCTGTTCCACTGGCCATTTATTACAGACAGGAGAGGTGACGGTGATGTCACTGACGGTGCTCACAGGTGTGTGAACGTCACCTTCGCCTCATCCTGACTCAGTTTCCCTAACTTTTGAACAGAAGGCTGTTCTTCCAAATGTGCTGGGAAGCGAAACTTTGGTTGATCTGATTGCAAGCATGGGACCAGGGGCGGTTTCCCGTTCTTTAAGGATGCACAGTAACCTTGGATGGTTTCTGGATCAGCTGATGTGAAACAGCTGTAGATGCCAAGCATGTCCCCTGGTCCTGAGATGGGAGGGTGAACATAGGCTCAGAGCCTCCTCACTCGGGGCAGTGGGGGCGGCTTGGCGGATATTAAGCACATGAGTGTGCTGGGTTGGGGGACTGGTGGAGATCCCGGGGGCTCTTCTGGATGCACGTCCCAGACACAGAGAAGAGAAAGCAGCTGTGACAGAAACCTGAGACACCGAGGCACTGGAAAACAAGTTCAGCTTCAGAGAAGAACCACCTCCGTTACCCAGCCGTGGCGTTCACTGAGTGATGGCGGCCTGGAGATGGAGATGCAGCTCTTAGAACGGAAACTGACAAAATCAAGGCGGAAAGCGTGTGCTGAAAACCCGAGGGGCGTGAAGAACACCAATGTCAATGCAAAAAAAAAAAAAAAAAACTAAATAAAAGAGGAAGGTGAACGCTGAATGCATCAGCCAAATTCTCTGGTGAAGGCTGAACACCAGGCAGCAAAGGAGTGAAAAAGAAAAGCCAGGGGAAAAAAAATCAGTTAAGGTGAACAGCTCCGGGATGATTTCTCCCAGCCGCACCCACACTGTGCTAGTTCAGCCAGTCTCCCTTCAGGATCGCGAGCCAGATACAGAAGTGCCTCATCAGGGGGAGCCAGTGCCACCCCCGGGGGCTCCTGAGGGGAGGCTGATCGTCCCGGCTGTGGATCTCGGCTAATGAGATCTCCCTCCCTGAAGACCTGGAGTCCACGGACTGGAATGTCTTCCCTGCGGTGCGATCCTTGAGTTAGTGATATAGAAACCTTGGATGTGAGGCAGCAGGACAGAGAAGGCCACTTGCGTTCACAGTCAGAACTTTCCAAAACCTCTGATCAAATCAGACACCCAAATTCAGATTCCAGCCTCTTACTCAGCACACGTGGATGAGCCAGGCATGGTGCTGAGCAGTGGCCTTTGTACACGTCTTCGTAGAGGATTCCAAGAGGCATGGCCCTCGCCTCAAGGGCTTTCCTGGGGCCAGACGTACGTGCCATGGGGAATATGGAATACAGTCTGTTTATATTTAGCTTCGGCAAGTCTGTGATCCAGCATTGCAAATCACAAGAGCATTTTCTTAGGAAAAGATTATTGTAGAAGGTGTTTAAGTCCCCAAGCCAGCCCTCAAAATTTTCTTTGGCCAAAAATCTGTCTGAAATAGAATGGTAACAGCGCTATTGAACCAAATTGCTATGTCTAGGAATATGTCTTAGGTGGGGAACTGCAGGGAAGGGTCCAACTTAGACAGCAGGGGTCATTTGGCCGCCATGTAGGTTGGATGGTCGCAGCGAGGACACACCCTCCCCTGATTTCTCTCTGCAGCAAAGGAGCTGACTTGGCCTCTGCACTGGTCTCTGATGGGCCTCATGCAGGACCCAAGGGGATGATGAGAAGCAGGCCAAGAAAGTCCAGGATTCCCAAGGGTGTGGGGAGTGGGGAGCAGGGCAGGGCCTGGCTGGTGCAAGGTCAGCCCAGCCTGGCTCCTGACTGACCCCCTGCCATTTCACTACCTCCTTTCTTTCATTCATAGTTTGGGTGTCTATTAGCTGGCGGACACCGTGCAGGTCCTAAGATGAACGGGACACAGTCCTCATCTTCAGGAATGGAACTTCTGTTAAAATTTAAGCTTCAGATGAAAAATACTTACTGAATTTCCAGTGCCTGGCACAGAGCAGCTAACTGTTTGCTGAATGAATGAAGGAGCTCACAGAGACAAGTCAGTGTGAGACTGCGACTGTGCCCGCCTCCTGTGGGCCCAGGGCCCTCCCTGCTCTGCCCTTGTTCTTTACCATCAAGTCATACCAACCTCGTGCCGACATCATTGAGGGGAGCTGCTGCCTCGGGACCTGCTCTTCTTTCTGCCCAGCATCCCTGTCTTTGTTTTCCTCTTTACACCCCTCTCCCTACCTTACATCTTTCTTTGACTAACTCCTATCAGAAAGTTATTAATGCATTTAATAAATATTAGTTAAGCATCTACTACATGCCAGGAGTTGTGCTAGAAACTGGTGATGGGGAGATGAACAGAAAATCATGGCCTCAAATATGTCCTCACCCTTCTGGGGTGAACAGTCTCTAGGAAAAGACAATAATAGATATACTAGAGGATGATCAAAGGGACTCACTAGCTGTCTGGGGCCAACTTGGACTAGTGCTGTGAAGGAAAAGAACGGGAGTTACTAGCACGTAAGGCCTTCCTTGTCCTGGAGGCCAAGGAATGCGTCTCCGGTGAAGGGATGTTTTAACCTGGGGGAGGTGAAGGTAGAGGAGGGGACAGAAGAGCTTCTGAGGCCAGGAAATGCCAGGAGCAAGGGTCTTGCAGTGAAGGGGATGGGCGTGTTTGAGAACTGAAATGAGCCAAGGTCTCGGTGGGGCTTCACCACCCCTAGGAAGCCTTCTTTCGTCCTTCCCTGAGAATATTGTAGGTTCCTCCTTGGAGCTGCCATGATTCTCTGTTCATAATTCCATCATCACCCTGCATCTCTCACATCATAATAGCGTGTGAGTCTGTTTTCTCGTCCAGACCATGAACTTTAGAAAGGCAATCATCTTGAAGTCCCAATACTTAGTGTAGTGCCTGCTGTGTTGAAGGTGATTGGTAAATGTCAGATCAAGCGATGAATGAATTCATTGAACCAAGCTTTTGATAACAGCAATTATCAGAACAGCAGCGCTCTCAATATTAGACTCCCCGACCAGCACCTAATAAAGCTAGTCCATTTAGCCGGTTAGGCACCAAGACACAACCTTTGACCACCAGCCAAACTGGTGAAGGACAGAGAGCCTTTAATAACATTGGAGGGACCTTCCAGCTCCCCTGGCAGAGTGGGTCCAGGGAGGAGTTAAGGGCTAAGGCAACCAACAACAAAAAAGCATCTCTGGTTACTCTAACACACGGATGAATGTCCAGGCGGCATAACTGCCAAGAGACCACTGGTTTCATATTGCAGTTACATTCTAAAAAAAAAAATTTAGGGACCCACATAGAGCTACCAACTTTTTGCTTGTTGAATAAGGTCATCAAAAAAAAATCGATCCTGCTGTATTACCCTGAATTCATTTTTAAAAAAATAAATTAAAGGGGAATCCTTTGAATCCTTTGCATCAACACATTTAGTTCTAGGAAAAATTCACTATCTTGTCTTTGCTGTTATCCTTTTGCTGGGACCCAGTGAAATTTGTTAAAGGAATTTGCAGGGACAGCTGGGAGGGCTTTTCACTACCTTTAAGAGCAGAGGGTGGTCTGACAGGGTGGTCCGGGGAAAAAGCCACCTGTAGGAAGGAAGCCTGGACTTTGAGGGGCCAGCAGGTGGGTAATCTGGGCTTGCAAACTGCCACTAGAAGAAATTTTCTCCAGCAAGATGTCTGTAAGTAATTCAGTGATACAGGAAATACCCATTCGTCAAAGGTCATTACTTGAACTAAGCACTACACTTCTTTAAAAAGCGTATTTTTTATTTGTCTTTGGGAGTAAGTAATCAGGTTCATTTATTTACTTACTTGTCATAGTGGAGGTACTGGGGATTGAACCCAGGACCCCGTCCATGCTAAGCATGCGCTCTACCACTGAGCTATACCCTCCCACCAAGCACTGTGCTTTTGACTTATAAACACAAGGTCATCCTGTATCTGTGGGGTGTTTGTGTGCTCCTTTGGAAATGCACCCTTGCCCTCTTGGACAGTGACTGTTTCTCTCCGAGGTGAACATTCGCCTCTCGGAGGCCAGAGGTGAGGCCAGAGGAGAGGACGAGGGAGATTTTGCCCTGTAATTTAGCTCTAAGAACTCTGGTTCAGTTTCTAAGTCAGGGATGGAAGTCACCAACATGGACCTCAAAACTTTTGCTTCTCAAAGGAGAAAAACATAAATTTCCCTTAAAATCATTTGGGCAAGGTCCCATCACCAACTTTCTCTCTCTGGGGCACCCCGGGCCTTGATTGGAATGGCAAACAGCTAAGTGGGTGAAATCGGCTCTTCTTTGATTAAATTAGGTTGACACGAATGAACAGCTGAGAAGAATAGCCCAGATGCGGATTGTTGAATACGACTACAAGCCTGAATTCGCGTCTGCCATGGGAATCAACGCCGCCCACCAAACAGGTACACACAGCCTTCTTAATTTCGCGTTGTCAGCTCTTAAAGTGCCAATTCCCTCTTCGTCGCTATGGCACCTGACAACATCCTGCCGGTCTAACGTGTCCCCCGGGAATGACATCATCACCAGAACAGAAAAGGTTAGAGGAATGTCTTGTGTCATCTTAACTCAACACCCCCACTCCTGCACCCCCAGGTACTGGTGGAGTATTTTGAACATATTGTTTCTTTTCCCTGGAGTCTCCTCTTGCTCGTGGGATGAGGGTTGAGGGGCCTCGCGGGGCAGCGGGGTGATGGAGACAGAAGGTGGCAGGGTAAGTGGTTCTCAGTCAGAGAAGCCGTAGGCGGTGTTTATGCGCCAGTCTGGAAATGGAAAAAGGACCATTTAGGGTGCAGGATCCTCCTGCAGAAAAAGCAAGAAAGTCAGGCTAATGCCCCAGCCTTACATCTATGTACAGGGAATTTAGGTACCCTTTCCAACACTTGGCTCAGAGTCTCCAGAAAGAGTAGAG